TGTATAGCATGTAAATTAAATCTTAATAAAGCTGTTAGGTTAAAAAATATATGTAAGAAGATGAGCATATTGCCTGGCATGTAGTAAGGACTCAATAAATGGTAATAAATTTATTATTGTATCCTTTCCTCTTCCTGATGTCATTCCAATACTGGCCAGAATCACCTCTAACACTAACACTGTAGAATCTTTCAGGCTTATTCCATACTAGTGCAGCCCATTTCATACTAGTGGAGAGTCACAGGTGAGTCCTGAAGGCTAACATCCCACAACTAAGAGTCTTCCTCCAATACTCAGATAAGTAAATATACAACAGAACAGTAAGAAAATAATGGTTCCATTTATTGAACACTCACTATGTGCCCAGGTACTGTGCCAGGAACTTTACGACTATTCTCACAAGAACCCTACTAGGCTGTTACATTATTATTCCTATACAATAAATGAAGAAACTGGCACTTAGAGAAGTTACGTATCTTATAAAGTCACACTGGCAGTCACTGACTGAGCTGGAAAGTTCAATTCCAAGGCTTATAAGTCTTTCTCTAAGTGATTACATGGCTTTATTATACTTTCTCTTATTTATGTACGTTTTACCCACACTTTACCATTCAAGCATCTTGATTTTCACTGATCTCCCTTTCCTCTATGCCTTCTGTTTACATCAAATTAGTCAACATTTCCTTTTACATAGTCTTGTGTGTTCTCAGATTGTTTCATGTGTATTCTGTTAAGCATGGCAGGTCGCTTAACAAACACTTCTTTAGTAAACGGATGTTAAGCTTGTCTCCCCAGGCAGGAAACAGGTTCTTGATGGACACACACTGTGTCTTTAACATGTCTTTATCCTTTATATAGAGAAGGCACTCATGGTCACCTAGGCTGGCCGATGGCTGGAGGACTATCCCCTACTTGAAAATGATTCTCACAGACATGGTTTCTGCCCATGGACTGGAAGTTTTCTCCTTAGGAATAGGACCTCACCTCATTGTCAACCCATTCTAGTGTAGCATCGGGGCTCAGAATAGAGTTGATGAATTAAAGACTGGGTCAACAATACTTATTCCACTGGAGACACCTCAAGGGCAGCCTTCCCACAGTGACCCCAAACCCATTTTCTCTCACCTCCATGAAAGGGAAGGGGTAGACCAGGAAGGATGGCAAGGAACTTGAAGAAGACAGGCTATTGTCCCTGCCTGTGGCCATGACAGTCAGTGCAGCATCCTCTCTGGCTCAGGACCCTTCTTTTTAGTGCAGACCCAGGGAGTGCTTTCCAGAGCCCACATCTCACCTTCACATCACCAAATTCATAAGGTGGGGCAAACTTAAGAATCTGTTACTCGGTTATCTACAGACCCATCAAAACTCTGTTTTAACCTTCTCTACTTCCTACCTCTCCTAACTCTCAGAGTAGTGACATGCTCACAAGTATCCAGATTCCCTTAGATTTGTCCTATAAGTACCCTGAGGTCACCCTCTTCCCCCTCCTCTCCCACCCCCATCCTATCCAAAGCAGCATTCTTCGAGCTCCACGGATTCTCTGGGGCAGGGCTGGCAACAAGAAGAAGGTGGCAGCTCTTTGCCTCTCGGCAGATATGCTACTCGGTTGGTCAAACTTGGTTCCTCTGTGTTCCCCATCTCTACACCTGCTTGCCTCTCCTCTGCCTTTTCTTCAAGATATTAAAAACTCGCAATAAAAAACAAATACAAAATGCTGTAATTAATAGCCAATTCCAAGCCAACCCAGCATCTCTACTAATAAACCTCAATACTTGCAAAAAGAACAATAAATTCTGCCCCTCTCTGGTTCTGAGGTGGTCTCTTTTATATAGTCTGTGTGTGTATGTATGTGGGTAAGTGTGTCTACATATATATATATTTTCCTTTATTTCCCATCCAGGGAGGGGCAGAATAATGAACTGCGTGCGTCAGGGAAGATGAATCTGAGATACTAGGGAGCAGTGCAGTAAAAAGATTAAAGTGTTATTATTGTTGGGTTTTTTTCCCCCATGGTCCATTGTGACAGCTCGACCGTCATCTGTAAAAAATGTCTCAGCGAGAGATAATCATCGGAAACTCAATAAAGCGTCAGGGGGAGCCTCAGCCCCTATCAATCACTAGGTGCCTGGAAAATTTCAGCCCTCTGTCTCCCTTCCTGCTATCCATATAAATGTCTCTAATATATTTTGTGTGGTGTGTGGGACCCATCCCTGATTTGGAACTTTTGATGAAAAAATATTTATACACAAAATATGTAAATCGGTTAAAAATCATAAGACTAGTTCATTGCCACCCAATTCTGTTTTTTCTTATTTTTGTAAATGCATCAAATTTATTCTGTTTAATAAAACATGTCAACTAGTCTATCTCTCTCTCCTAGGACACAGACAGATACACACACACACACACACACACACACACACAGAGTTTGGAGGGCTAAAAGGATGGAAATAATCAACCTAACTGGCTGATTCATTTAATCATGCAGTTGGCCAGAATGTATCCTGGTAACTCTATGGTGGCCAGAACCAGAACTATGGAGAAATGACATGTAGAAACATTGGCCACGGAGTGTGACAAGGCTCTGAGTGAGCCTGGACAAGGATGAGGAAGGGGCTGTGACATTATTAAAAATAATAAATTGCCCACACAGCCTTTGGCCTGGCAGATTCCCAAGCCTTTGGACAAGCCAGAGATCTGAGCTGACTAAGCTGTGGGCAGATGCAGGCTGATATGGTTGTTGGGTCTTATATAAGAGCAGGAGATAGTTCTGCTGGCATTTGACAGCCTCACTCTGCCTCAGTTGCCTTTATTATAGGGTTGCTACCTATATTATAGGGCTACTGTGAATACAAAGTAAGTATCAATCAATATTATCTGCTACCCTTGCAGCTATCACCATTGTCATCTCATTATCACCTCCCTCTGTTTCTCTATCCTGAAAGGCATCAATTCCTCCAGTGCCCTCTCCTTTAGGACCTTCAAGGCTCTTCTCTGTCTAAAGGATAAAGTCCAAGAGTCTTCATCTGGCCCTAGTCTACTAATGTTGCATCTTTATTGCTCATCACTCTCTAAGATGAATCTTCTGCTGTGTGCATGCTTCACCCTAACATGTTCACCTACCAGCGTGAAACATAATTTTTCTGTTTCTCATATCTGAGTGGTTTTTTTGTTTTTTGAGACAGGGTTTTGCTCTATCACCCAGGCTGGAGTGCAGTGGCGTGACCATGGCTTACTACAGCCTTGATCTCCTGGGCTCAGGCAATCCTCCTGTCTCAGCCTCCTGAGTAGTTGGGACCACAGGCACATACCTGGCTAATTAAAAAAAAAATATTGGGCAGGGCATGGTGGCTCATTACTAATCCTGACACTTTGGGAGGCCGAGGCGGGCAGATCGCCTGAGCTCAGGAGTTCAAGACCAGCCTGGGCAACATGGTGAAACCCCATCTCTACTAAAACACAAAAAAGTTGCCGGGCATGGTGGCACATGCCTGTAATCCCAACTACTCAGGAGGTTGAGGCATGGGAACTGCTTGAACCCAGGAGGTGGAGGTTGCAGTGAGCTGAGATCATGCCACTGTACTCCAGCCTGGGCGGCACAGCAAGACTCTGTCTCAAAAATAAAATAAAATAAAAAATAAAATAAAATAAAATAAAATAAAATAAAAGTTGTGTAGAGACGGGGTTTCACAATGTTGCCCAGGCTGGTCTTGAACTCCTGGGTTCAAGCAATCCTTCTGCTTCAGCCTCCCAAAGTCTTGGGATTACAGGCATGAGCCACCACACTCGACCACTCTGTATGTTTTGAACATAGCACACCCCTTCTCTACTCACATTCAATTGCACCCACCTGTCAACCCTCCATACAGCTGTCCAAAACCTTCCGATACTTTGAGGCTCAAATGTCATTTTATTTCCTTGACTTCTTCAGCCAGAGATTCTCTTCTCTAAGCTCTTACGGTCCTTGCTATCTGTACCTCTGACTGGACCCTTTGTCAAATATTGTCTTGGTAATGTCTTAAGTCTTTATTATTACTAATTACTGTTCTTGCAAGCACCTTATATTTGCATAATGCCTTGTATTTTCTCAAGCGCTTTCATAAGTCCTCCAATTTGGGCCTTACAATAAGCCTATGGTGTAGGAAATATTCTCTACAGATGAGAAAATCAAGCTCAGAGAGCAAAAAAGAATTGCCAAGGTCACACAATTAGGTAATGGCTAAGCCATTCCTTGGACTCTAAACACTATTTGGCTCTTTGAGGGTAATAGTTTGCTACCAGAGAAAAGCGTTTGGAAGGCTGTGTCAAAGACTGACATTCCGTTAAGAGTATAATGAGGAGGAGGATGTAGAAACAGAGGTTTACATTCACAGAATTTCTTCTATGTTCTAGGGTTTAGGTTTGGGGTAAATGTACCATATTACCTCTAACTCTCCCAATAACCTTTCTTTTACAAATAAGGAGACAGTGCCTCTGGCAGGTATAGAAAATCGCTCCAGGTGTCAGAGCTATTTAGTGTTCTGCACACATATAATACCATAGCTTAAACACACAGCCTCTCTAGGAGTGAAGTTTAAAGTGGCAAAATAAGATCTCTAGTAGGGAGGTGAAGGCCCAGATTAGTGTTTTAAGCAGTTCAAGCACAAGACCACAACTAATACCTGTAGTCTAGATCATGCTTTCCAAAGGGTCGGAGCCTATTAGAAATGCAAAACCTCGGGTCCCACCCCAGACATACTCAATCAGAATCTGAGGGGAGGGTCCAGGAACCTGTGTTAACAAGCTCTCTAGGGGATTCTTATTTCCTTGGGAGCCTTATTGTTCTCAGCTGAGTTTTTGCTCTCCAAGGGCATGCATTCTCTCTGCTATGCTTGGTGAGGCTGGGCACACAGTGGGTGCTGGGTAGTTAACTTATACTGAGTAAAAAAGATAGTCAGATGAGACCATCCTTGGCATGTACTGGGGAGGGGGAGAAATATTATACAGAGCAGTTCCATTACCGCCAGCAGGGAGTCCTAGCCATCTCCTGAACTCCAGGGCACTTGTCCACTGGTTTGTGATGTGCCGGCTTGCACCGTCCTGTCGCCCATCTGAAGACACAGAGATGGGGAGGTCAGCTGGAGCAGGCCAGGCCCTGCAGACCCTGGAGCTGTGGGAATGGGGCACTCAGGCTGGTGGGGTTGGTCCAAGTCCTCTACCCCCAGAAGGGCCCTATGCCAACCCAGCTTCTGCCCCACTCATCTTTATTCAGCTGCCACTTGGAGCTGAGAAGAGAAGCTGATTTATAGCCCGCTCTGGCTGCGTTTCTGCCGTGTTTTATTGTTTTAATTGTACATATGAGAGGCACTCAAAATGCTTGCTTGCATTTCTGACAGCCCCAGACACCCAATGTTTATAACAGTTACTTATAAGCAGCCAGCGGCATCCCGGGCTGGGTGACTTGTTTACTGTTACCACTAATTTATTACCTCCTCCATCTGAGGATTAGGGCCCCCACCCATCAGCCAGCCACAAGTGGAACGCTCCTGGAGTGGGCATGGGTAGGGCTCAAGGCACTGAATGGAATGTGGTCGAGATCAGGGAATAGGTTGGCAGAGGAACAGCTATGATCCTCATACTTCTCTCCACATTTATTCCATCTCACAGACATTCTAAGCTGTGCCCTCTGCTTTTTTCTTCTTCCCCGTCATTTTCATCCTCCAAAGCCCAACTCAAATTCCACTTCTTTTAAGAATATTACGTTGGGTGCAGTGGCTTACGCCTGTAGTCCCAGCACTTTGGGAGGCCGAGGTGGGTGGATCACCTGAGGTTTGGAGTTAGAATCCAGCCTGGCCAACATGGTGAAACTCCATCTCTACTAAAAATACTAGTAAAATAAAAATAAAAATAAAAATAAAAATTAGCCAGGCGTGGTGGTGGTACCTATAATCCCAGCTACTTTGGAGGCTGAGGCAGGAGAATCGCTTGAACCCAGGAGGCAGAGGTTACAATGAGCCAAGATCGTGCCATTGCACTCCAGTCTGGGCAATAAGAGCGAAACTCTGTCTCAAAAACAAAAAAACAAAACAAAACAAAAGAACATTACTTGCTCTGATAGTGAGCCTAGAGCTTTAAGAACATTAGAAATCACACGGCAGACAGGGGTACTGGAGGCCAGATAATCCAATGACTCATGGCAAGAATCCCCTTTACGGAATCCATGATGGGCAGATATCTCAGCTGTTAGTACCCCTTGAGTGGTGAGGTATCTCCCAGGCAGGCTTCCTGCTTTACACTTTGCCAAAACCCATCTCCACAGAGAAATTCTGCATTAAATGTCACTGTGCTTTAAATATATATATGATTATCTCTAATCATCCTAACAACCCTATAAGATGGGTATTGTTATTACTACGTTACAGATGAGAAAACTGAAATTCAGAGACTGTAAGTCATTTACTCAAGATCACATATCTAGTGAGTAACAGAGCTTAGATGAATCATTCAGATATCTGGTACTGAAGCCCAAACTTTCTCTAGGACACCAATGTGCCTCTGAAGATGCCACTCTGAGGGCTGGAGAGAAAGGAAAGAACAATCAGGCCAACAAGATTTCCATACCAAGCACCCTTGGGTTACCTGAACCAGTAAGACTGCCCTCTACCCAGAAACACCAACGTTGACAAAAGTGGACCCAGCTGAGTAGGCTTCTTGCTAAAGAGCAATGCTCACATGACACAGGAGAAGAGTGAAACTAGGAATGGCATAACCAATGACAAAGTCTCAGCAAGGATGGCAAAGAAGTTTCTTTCCTCCCTAGGCTGTGTCTGTTCTCAGCAGGTAAAACGGACACAAAGCATCTTTGATATCTTTTAGTTTTCTTGCCTGGATCCTCTTTCCTGCTCACACCTTAAATGCTGGTATCCTGAGTAAAGGACTTGTTCTCCTACCACCCCCTCACTTTACTTTCATTGGGCAATTTCGGTCACATCCATTGTTTTAACTCCCAAGCAAATGGAAAATACTCCTAAATCCCTGTCTCCTGCCAAACTACTCCTTTGAGCTCTCCAGACCCACATATCTAACTATTTACTCAAACTAGAAACTGAGGTATCACCATGCATACCTCCTTTTCCATCAGTTCTCACAATCCACTGAGTACTCAATCTTCTAATATTCTGCTAACATCTATTTACTGTATTCCCAAAGATCACCTTTAGGAATCTCCAGATATTTTAAATGTATTTTTGGAGGACAGGAGCATAGCTTCTTATCAGATTCCCAAAGGAGTCCATTATCCCTAAAAAGTCAAGAACCATTGATAATCTTTCCCCTCCAATTCCTCTTCTACCCTGTCAGAATGGTCCATCTAAAATGCAAGTGTGAATTCGACATTGTCCTGCTTAAAATCCTTTAACGGCCTTCAGAATAGAGAATGAGCTCCCTAGAACTGCCTTACAAGGTCCTTCCCATGTGTAACCTTCTTCACTCTCTGGCCTTATTTCTTGTTGTTCTCCTCAATCCTGCAGCAGATGATTCCACCTGCTGTCATTCCCTAACCCCCACCCAACGCCTCTGCATACACTGTTCCCTCTGTCTGGAAGGTCCATCCCTCTTAGCTTTCCTGGCAATCTCCAACTCATCCTTAAGACCCAATTCAAGGTCACTTACCCTGTGATACTTCCCAGACACCAGTCTGCTCACTTCTCAGGTGGAGCTCACCACTACTTACATCAGTGCTGCCTACATATTTGTACAGCTACCACTGCATTTATCACTCTGCATTGTGATTCCTTGTTTACAGGCTTGTCTCTGTAAATGACTGGGAGCACTGTTGAGGGGCTAGACTATGTATAATCATTTATATAATCCTAGCAACTGGCAGAGTGCCTGACATTCAGTAAGAACATGCTGAATTATACATAAATGAAACTAATAAGCAATTACAACTGTAGAGCACTTTACAATCCACACATCACACATTTTATCTCTTGATATTCACAACAATACTAATACAGAAGAAAAGGAATGTATCATTGGAGGTTAGAGAGGTCTTTCCAAAGCCACAAACTACACCTTTCTTCAGTACTAACTGCAGGCCAAGGGCCACAGAAATATCCATTAGAAATTTAGTGAACTTCTTGGACTTAGCACTGACTCCATAGTCTACTATAATAGTGAAGGACTGTCCAACTTTCCTGAGCTTGTGACCTTCCTGTGAATTTGCCTAGACACACTCGAGGGAAAGGGAATTACAGCTCTTGTTCTACTCTACCTTCCTTACCCATCCCTACAAGTCAGGTAATTTTTCATGAAAAAGTCAATCCAATACAAAAATAAGAGAACTACAGGATTCTTTTGTTTGTATTTCATCCATGAGAATGAATCAGAGCTGGGTATGGTGTCTTGCATACAATTGGCAGTCAATACATATTGGCTGAATGGCTAAAAAAAATGAGGTTTCCTTAAACAGAAAAAGGAAAGACATGGTTAAGAAGAAGCTAAAGGCTGAGGTTGATGAGAGAGAAGAGCCCTGAGATGATTCTAAAGCACTATCACTATCCAGGTCCAAGTCAGAACGTTCAGTGCACTAAGTTGGACGGCATGCCACATCTAAACCGATACACCCAGGAAAATAAAGCCAGCTGCCAGAAAACTGTGGCAGACAAAAGTAATCTAGAATTAAAAAAAAAAAAAAAAAAGGTGGAGAGGTAGATCTTGCAAGCCACAGTGAGTTTATCAATGATTCCTGACAAACTTCTAGGATGTTATTATTATTTTTTAAACAGTTGGTTGTTTTTGTTTTTGTTTTGAGACAGGGTCTTGCTCTGTCACCCAGGCTGGAGTGCAGTGGCGTGATCTCAGCTCACTACAACCTCTGACTCCTGGGTTCAAGTGATTCTTGTGCCTCAGCCTCCTGAGTAGCTGGGACTACAGGCATGCACCACCACACCTGGCTAAATTTTGTATTTTTAGTAGAAACGGGGTTTTGCCATGTTGGCCAGGCTGGTCTTGAACTCCTAGCCTCATGTGATCTGCCTGCCTCAGCCTCCCAAAGTGCTGGGACTACAAGTGTGAACCACGGTGCCCAGCATGTTGTACCAGTTCTTAAACACTTGGGTAATTACTGGGTACCAGTATGGGTTCCCTAAGAACAATAAATCAACATGCCAGAATAACCTGATTTCCTTTTCTGGAAAGGGTTATTAGACAAGAAAATAAGACAAATGCTAGAAACATTTTAATTTTAGCAAGAAATCTGGGGAAAAAGCTCTTAAAATTTTGTGAACAAAGCAGAGGAATGGAGGATGGAAAAGAATGAAAGTTGATAGAATTACACCTGAGAATGCTGAATAATGCATCAAAATTATCTTGATCATGTGCTCTAGGACTCTGTATTTAATAAAGTCCTTATAAACATTTTAATCCAAGTAAGAGCATGATGGCAGGGGATCTTGTCTGTCTAACTCATCAGTGCTTAAAACACTACCTGGTACACAGGAATGTGATCAATAAATACTTTTGAATAAATAAGTGAATCCACAGAAAGCCTACTACTAAATTTGCAGATCATATGAAATAAGAAGAGATGGTTAATATTTTAATTGTTATTTCATAAGCGGACATGATAGCCTTTTCAAATATTTTTGTTGTCTATCTCTCTCTATCTACCTACCTACCCAGAATGTAGGCTGTCTGGCATAAGAGTTAAAAATAATCCAGAGGTTGGCCAGGAAAAAGAAAAGAAAAGAAAAGAGAAAAGAAAAGAAGAAAGAAAAAAAAACTAAGAAAAATAAATTATGTAACCTTGAACTAGGAATGCAAAAAAAAAATCATGTGGAGCAGGGTTGGCAAACTACAGCCTCTGGGCCAAATCCAAAAAGTTAGCCAGGCGTGGTGGTGGGCGCCTGTAGTCCCAGCTACTGGGTAGGCTGAGGCAGGAGAATGGTGTGAATCCAGGAGGTGGAGCTTGCAGTGAGCTGAGATCTCGACACTGCACTCCAGCCTGGGCGACAGAGCGAGACTCCGTCTCAAAAAAGCAAAACAAAACATGAATGTACATCGTGGAGACCAGTGTGAGAGCAGAAGTTGGACTAGATAGATGGCTTCATAGCTCTGAGATTCTGTGAAATAAAAAAAACGTTTAATGAGCCCTGCTAGAATCCTGACAGCAGATGAGAAGGCACTCAAAAGAATCCCCTCCTGTCTACCTGGCCCTGCCCTCTCAACAAATGCTCCACTTTGCTTTTTGGTGAGAGCACCTGTATTAGTTCATTTTCACACTGCTGATAAAGACATACCTGAAACTGGGAACAAAAAGAGGTTTAATTGGACTTACAGTCCTACATGGCCGGGGAGGCCTCAGAATCATGGCAGAAGGTAAAAGGCACTTCTTACATGGCAGCGGCAGGAGAAAAATGAGGATGAAGCAAAAGGGGGAAACCCCTAACAAACCCATCAGCTCTCAAGAGACTTATTCACTATCACAAGAATAGCATGGGAAAGACTGGCCGCCATGTTTCAATTACCTCCCACTAGGTCCCTCCCACAACACATGGGAATTCTGGGAAATACAATTCAAGTTGAGATGTGAATAGAGACACAGCCAAACCATATTAGCACCTAAACTGAAGACAGAGCTGAGCACTGCAATGCTGCGCCTGAATGAGAAGAGGATAGCCCATAAGCTGAGTCCCCACATATCAGGCTGCAAATAGAGGGCAAGGGGGTACTCATGAAATTCTCTGTTTAAAACATAAACACAATTCCTCCAGCTCAGTGGGGAATCCAAGGACACAAAGATTGTGGCCTGCACATGAGGAGGAAAGAAAGGACATATGGGTAGATGAGAGTTCAAATAACCACACAAAAGGCCAAGATCTAGAGAACATTCAAAAGAGCAGCTGAGGGCAGGTTGCAACTATTGTCAAGGACAGGGAAGCCTTTGTGGAGGATCTAGCGTTAGCAATGGAGCCTTAAGAGAAGGACTAGGTTTAGAGAGGTGAAAGGGAAGGAAGAGGGTAACTTCACACTTTACCTGGGCAGCAATGCCTTAATGCTCTTGGATACTCCTCTCATGCCACTGATTTGAGAAACCTTCTCCCTGGGGCGGCAACAACACTGCTACTCTGAGTTACCACATACCATGTCAGTCTCGCGGCCTTACAGCTCTGAAGGCTGAGCATACTGCTCCCCTTGGCTGAACTTCCCCCTAGGTCAATGTTCTGGCTCTCGGGTAGTCAGAGAGGCTGTCTGTCCTCCTGGCATCACTGCTAACACTAAAGCAGCCACTGCTCAGCCACCCTGTTGCTGGCAATCTCAGAGGGATCTCAGCCTCTGTGAATGGTCCAGGACAAGGGGAAAGCAGTGGGGACAGTCTGGATAAACAAAAGCTCAAATGTAAAATACTCATTTCTGACTGCAGCCAAAGCAAACAGCTTTTTTTTCAACCCCACTTTGGATGAAGTACTCACCAGACACAACATAGACTGACTTGCTGAGGTACCCTCTAACAGACACATGATCAAGCCCTAGTGCAAACTCAAACACCCACCTTGCACATTCAGTCTCCAAGACTCACCCCACAGTCTCTTCATTCTGAAGTTCAAACCACCACCAACACAACATCCCAGATATCCCAGAGAAGGCACTGACGATGACCTCATTTTATAAGGATAGACATCAAGGCACAGAGAAGGTCCACTATTTGTCCTAGATCATAGAGCAAGCTGAGGGGATAGTCCCAGAGACACGATTGCATTTTACATTTACGAGGGAGGAAAAGCAGTATTCAGAGTAGTATTATTTAGGGAATTCTGAGGCTGAGGAATCCAGTAAGGCTGTTGTCTAGTTCTGGGGCAGGAATGGGGCAAGGTAAGTCTGCAGGAAATAGGAGAGGAACAAATCCACATTCCACGCAGTTGCCTTAATTATTTTACTGAAAGGTGCTCCGTTGTCCACTCATCTGCAGCTCTACAGGCTGAAGCACTTTCGGGAAAACATCAGTTGAAATGTACTTCCTACCCCCAATTAGGTCATGAAATCAGGCCTCTATTTCTTTCCCCAAGACTTCTTCTAAAGTGACATAAAGTTAGAGCCAAGGGACTGTGAAAAGCAGCTGTTCCAAGCCCTTTGAATTCTTCATGAGTCCACAGAGGTAAAGAACACACAGGCTTTCACTCTGAGTTGCTGGTAGAGCTGACACCACAGAGCAAGACTGTATGAAAGACACAAGAGGAGAGCTCTCAGAGAAGCAGGACAGCCCACACTTACCTTCCAAAGAATGGATTCCCTGTTCCTTGGCGGTCTTGTAAACACTGCTGAAATCATCTCCAAGGTTTGGATCAGCCCCAGCAGCAAGCAGGACCTGGACCACACTAGAAGAAAGCACAAAGACAGAAGTGTCAAAAGCAAGAAAGGCCCAGGAGGTACAGACCCAGATCTGGAAGCATGTGTGGGGACTCATGTGAGTGATACAGTGGAAAAAAAACCATGAACTCTGGGAGTGTAAAAGACAAGGATAGGAAAGGCAGGGATAGGAAATCTTAGCTGGATGCAGTGAATAATGACTGTAATCCCAGCACTTTGGGAGGCCAAGACGGGAGGATTACTTGAGTCCAGGAGTTCAAGACCAGTTTGGGCAACACAGTGAAACTTCATTTAAAAAAAAAAAAAAAAAAAGGCAGCAGCCTCTGAAACTTACCAGCTGAGAAGCTTGGGACAAGTTACTTAACACCTTTCTAAGGCCCAGTTTCCACAGTTATAAAATACAAACTGTTTATCCAACAATTACTTATCAAATGCCTACCATGTTCTAGTCCCTGTTCCAGCTGCTGAGGTCTGTGACCTCAAGGAACTAGGGCCAGTCTGCTGAGAAAACCAATAATTAAGTATAAAGTTACAGCTCAAAGTGTGATAAAGGTTACTACAGGAGAAATGTGCAGCAGAACAAGAAACAGGATCAAGAAAACCCTTACGGTATCATCAGCAAGATGGCAGAACAGGACTCCCCAGCACTTGCTCCCCAGCAGAAACATCAATTTGAACAATTATCCACAGGCAAAAATACCTTCACAAGAGCTAAGTAAACCAAATGAGAGATTACAGCACCTGAGCATAGCACAGGGGTAAAGAAAAGGTTACCTACAGAGAGTAGGAAGACAGTTTCCCCTTACCCATATCACCCCTCCCCCAACTCCAGGCGGTACACATGGAGAGAGTTACACTCATGGGGGCAGAAGAGGGAAGTGAGGGCTGGACTTTGCCTTGGACCCTGAATCCAGGCCCACCCCAGTAAAACTCAGTGCCTGGAAGGCTCCCAAAATCCTGGTGGTTACCCTCAGACTAAGCCTCTAGCCTCCCTGGTGCCAGGACATACCCCACAGCCCCAGGCTCCAGATCTGCCTCCTAGCCAGACCGACCTTAGCAGCCCCAGACTCTGGCCCTAGTGCCAGGTCAGCCCCAGCAGTCATGGGCTCTGGGCCCACCCTAACACGAGCCCAGCCCCTACAGTCTCAGGCTTCAGGCCCGCCTTGCAGATTCAATCTCTAGGCCCATCCTAGAGCCAGGGTAGCCTTGGTGGCCCAGGGCTCTAGACTTCCCCCAGAACTAGCTGGGGCATGAATCCAGGCTTCAGGTCTGCCCTAGCACCAGGTCGGCCTGACAGCCTTAGTTATCAGGCCTATACCAGCAGACCCAGCCTCCAGGTCCACCCCAGGCCCCAGCCCAGCCCACAGCCAAGTTAGTCCACACAGTCCAGAGCTTTAGGCCTGCCCTAGCACCAGGTCAGTACCCCTGGCCTCAGGCACTGGGCCAGCACCTGCAGACACAGGCTCTAGGCCTGCTCGGTTTCACACCAGTCCCTGTGGCCCCACATTTCAGGCCAGCTCTAGCAGCCCCCAGGCCCATCCCAGTAGACCCAGTACTGAGCTGGCTCCCACAAATCCAGACTCCAGGATAGCCCCCGTGGACCCAGGTCACAGGCTGGCCCTCATTGCCCTAGTACCCAGGCTAGCCCTCCCAGACCTACACCCTCTGGAGCAGTACTGCATATCCAGGCTCTAGACCATCACCCACAGACCCAGGCTCCGTGCCTGCCCAGGAACAGGCCAGCCCAGGCTCCAGGCCAGTCCCCACGCCACAGACTTCAGTGAACCCAAAGTCTAGGCCTGCTCCAGCAGATCTGAGGTCCAGACCCACTCCGATAGATGCCAGTAACAGCCTGGCCCCCATGGACTGAGACTCCAGGACCATCCCTATATACCCACATTCCAGGCCAGCCCTTATGGACCCAGGGCCCAGGCCCAATCCCCATAAACTAAGGCTCCAGGTCTGCTCCAATACCAGACCAACCCCTGTGGACTCAGGCTCCAGGCCCATCCACTTGGACACAGGTGCCAGGTCAATCCCAATGACTAACCATTCCCTGCAGATTCAGGCTTAAGGCCTATCCCATCACACGGTCAGTCCCTGTGTACTTAGGCTTCAGGCTGGCCCCCACAGATACAGGCTCTAGGCCCACCCCTGTGGTCCCAATCAACAGGTCCACTCCAATGGCACCAGGCTCCAAGCTCAACCCTAAGGACCCAGGCACCGGGTCAGCTCACCTGCTGACCTACGCACCAGGCCAGCCTGCCTGAGGACTCTAGCACCAAGCTCATTCATGAACCACACAAGACAGCCTGTCCCGAATCTCTGGACAGGCTGAATGATGAAAGGCTTTCCCAGGCAAAGCCAATCTGCAAAGACTGGAGTAAGTCCCCACTTTTTCACATGTTCAGACACGAAAGCATGGCCGCAAGAATCAAGAACAATCAGGGAAACTTGATCCCACCCAAAGAACAAAATGAAGGACCAGTAACCAACCCTAAAGAAATGGATATTCATAACCTGCTTCACAAATAATTCAAAATAATTGTTTTAAGAAAGTTTAGCAAACATTAAGAAAATATAGAGAAACAATTTAGCAAAATCAGGAAAACAATAAATATTCCAAACAAATTTAAGAGATTGAAATTATGTTTTTAAAAAACATCAAAAGAAATCCTGGAGCTGAAAAATATAATGAATCAAATGAAACTGCAATATAGAGCATCAACAGCAGAACTGAAAAGCAGAAGACAGAATATGTGAACTCAAAAATGAGCTATTTGAAAATAGGAAGACAAATGGCTTCCAATAAGATTCAGTCCAAATAAGACTACACCAAGACATATTATAATTAAACTATCAAAAATTAAAGACAAAGAAGGATTCTGAAAGCAGTGAGAGCAAAAAAGCAAGTAATATACAAGGGACTTCCAATAAGGCTGACAGTGGATTTCACATTATAAATCTTATAGGCCAGGAGAGAACAGGATGATAAATTCAAAATGTTGAATGAAAAAAAAACCCTGTCAACTAAGAAGACTATACCCAGCAAAACTATTCTTCAGAAATCAAGGAAAGATAAAGACTTTCCCAGAGAAATAAAAGCCAAGGGAGTTTATCACCACGAGACCTGTCTTATATTTCTTAGACAGGTCTGATGGTGATAAATTTATAAGAAATGCTAAAGAGAGTGCTTCATGTTGAAAGAAAAGGATGCTAATTAGCAACACAAAAACACGAAAGTATAAAACTCACTGGAAGCCTGAGAAACATGCTGAAACCCCATCTCCACCAAAAACGGACAAATACAAACATTAGCCAGGCATGGTGTTACATGCCAGTAGTCTCAGCTACTTGGGAAGCTGAGGCAGGAAAATCACTTGAGCTTGGGGGACAGAGATTGTAGTGAGCTAAGATCAACCACTGCACTCCAGCCTGGGTGACAGAATGAGACTCTATCTCAAAACAGACAAACAAAACACCCGATAAACCTCACTGGTAATGGTAAGCACATAGTCAAATTCAGAATACCACGATACTGTAAATGGTGGTAAGTAAATCACTTTTATCTTTAGTATTAAGGTCAAAATACAAAACTGCTAAAAATAATAATAGATACAATAATTTGTTAAGGGATATATAATACAAAATATGTAAATTGTGACACTAAAAATACAGAATATGTTTGTGGCGGGTGTGGAATAAGTGTAAAGTAACCACAAAGCAAAGCCTAAAGTAGATTCATAAAAGGTAAAAAGTAAAGAATATAAGTATACTACTAAAGAAAATCACCTAATGGGGAGCAGTTCCAAGACGGCCGAATAGGAAGAGCTCCAGTCTCCAGCTCCCAGCATGAGCGACACAGAAGATGGGTGATTTCTACATTTCCAACTGAGGCACCAGATTCATCTCACTGGGGAGTGTCAGACAGTGGGTGCAGGACTGTGGGTGCAGCCCAATAAGCGAGAGCCCAAGGCACCACCTCAACCAGGAAGCACAAGGGAGAAGGGAATTCCCTTTCCTAGACAAGGGAAACCATGACACACAACACCTGGAAAATCGGGTCACTCCCACCCTAATACTGTGCTTTACAAAGGGTCTTAGCAAACAGCACACCAGGAGATTATATCCTGCGCCTGGCTCAGAGGGTCCCATGCCCATGGAGCCTCCCTCATTGCTAGCACAGCAGTCTGAGATCTAACTGCAAGGCAGCAGCAAGGCTGGGGGAGGGGCGCCCGCCACTGCTGAGGCTTAGGTAGGTAAACAAAGTCCCTGGGAAGCTCGAACTGGGTGGAGCCCACTGCAGCTCAAGGAGGCCTGCCTGCCTCTGTAGACTCCACCTCTGGGGACAGGGCATAGGCAAACAAAAGGCAGCAGAAACCTCTGCAGATGTAAATGTCTCTGTCTGACAGCTTTGAAGAGAGTAGTGGTTCTCCCAGCATGGAGTCTGAGATCTGAGACCAGACAGACTGCCTGCTCAAGTAGGTCCCTGATCCCCGATTAGCCTAACTGGGAGACATCCCCCACTAGGGGCAGACTGACACCTCACACCTCACACCTCACATGGCCAGGTACACCTCTGAGACGAAGCTATCAGAGGAACGATCAGACAGCAACATTAGCCGTTCAGCAATATTCACTTTTCTGCAGCCTCCGCTGCTGATACCCAGGCAAACAGGGTCTGCACTGAACCTCAAGCAAACTCCAACAGACCTGCAGCTGAGGGTCCTGACTGTTAGAAGGAAAACTAACAAACAGAAAGGACATCCACACCAAAACCCCATCTGTATGTCACCATCATCAAAGACCAAAGGTAGATAAAACCACAAAGATGGGGAAAAAGCAGCGTAGAAAAGCTGGAAATTCTAAAAACCAGAGCGCCTCTCCCCTTCCAAAAGAACGCAGTTCCTCGCCAGCAACCGAACAAAGCTGCTTGGAGAATGACTTTGATGAGCTGAGAGAAGAACGCTTCAGACAATCAAACTTCTCTGAGCTAAAGGAGGAAGTA